TTCCTATGAAGATCTAGACTAGCATCCACCAGTCAAAGTGTATACCTATCATAAGATATTTCCTCCACAAAGAATTTCCCAGATTGGGTGAGGAAAGTTGTGCGATTGTTCTCGCAAACTAATTCATACCCTGGGTGGGTAACCACACTCCATAGGGTCGCTACTTAAACGAAAACGGTAACTGATACCAAGGTTTCCACAGAAAGAAGGGGCACAGGGCTTGTTTTGGCCGTGCGCAACTGAAGCATTAAGAAATAGAGACACAGCAAGGGTCATTACGCCCAATGCTCCTACAAGCTTTGTTCTTAACATCCTAGGTTGAACAGGAGAATATAAGATCCTTTTCTTATGTTTTTATGATAGATAGCACAAACCCGATTCTATGCTTTCATGTTTTAATTCAAACTGGGTCTTTCTCTGAGGCAATAAATCAAACACCTTACATGCATGCTACCCAAACACATGATAACATAAAAACCAACTTTCAGGATTCGATTCCACAACATGAGGAAAACGTCCGAGTCTAAATGTCCAAGTTGCTGACTTTGAATTTTCTAATGACTACTAATGGAAATAGACTTTAGCAGGAAGAGACTGTCGCGTTTCATAACATGGAAGTAAAAAATGGATTAATTTAATAAATCGTTTATTAATTTTTATTTTTTTTAGTTTATTTTATTATTTTTAAATTCTTTTAATTTTTTTTATTTTTCATATTTATTTCAATTTTATTTAATCTATTATTTTTAATAAAAATATCAGTTTCAACGAAATTTTCTTAGAATAAGAAAATATTTAATTCTCAAACTATAAAATTTTTTATTTTTTAGTTTTTAAATTTATATTTACTATAAAAATAATTTTTATTTTTATTTTGCTATACATATGTTTTTCAAAAAATTATTTTACAGAACGAATTGTATGCAGTTCATCTTGTAAAATTATTTAAATACCTTTAATTTTATTTTTATTATTTTTAAAAAAAATTTAAATAATTTTATAAAACAGACTGCAAACAATCTGCCTTGCAGTTTGTCTTATAAAACAAATTTATTTTTAAAATTTTTTATTCTAAACTTACTAAATTTCTCTATTTGAATTAAGTTAGTTATTTAAATTTATTACAAATTTTAACTAATTTATCTTTATAAAATATTCTTTAAGTAATCATATTTTATTAAAATTTTCTTTAAGTAATCATATTTTATTAAAATTATAGTATCATTTTTTAAAAAGTTAAAGTATTACTTTTTTTTGTTAAAACTAACAAAATTTTTTATACTATTTAAAATATTTTTCAAAATTTATAAATTATTTAAAAAAAATTTCTAATTATTTAAAAAAATTTTCTAAATTATAATGAAATTAAATTAATAATTAATGGATCAAAAATTGAATTAAGCCGTGAAAAATGGCACTAGAGATATTTTTGTATTTTGCGTTTTTCACACGGTTTCTTGTTGTAGCCACCCGCAAATAAAAACCAAAGGATCTATTTTGAAATAGGAAGAAAAAGACGATGGCAAAAAGCACGCAAGATAAGCTGGAACCTTTGACATCTTACTTTTTAGATC